TTTAAGTCAAGCAGCATTATTTTGAACAGTACATACAAGTGACAGTGCAGGAGGTCTCAGTTGAAGTACACATAACATAATGATGAAGAGACTCCACACGCACCAGTCAAAGTGTTACTTTAAATTTGGACTAATGCTTCCTCCCAGCTCAAGTGTACCATAAGCGCTGAACTTCTGTCCACTTGGTGGCATTTGTGGTACCCACTATGGGTTAGGTTCAAAATGCTTTGGTAGACCTATTTCCAAACCTGACCTAATCATATCTTCTCAGATTTATGATGACTGGACAAATCTTCAATGACAAATTTCCTCCAAAGCCCTACTCTGTGAAGAGCTGAGAATGGTGGCCATGTTTTTTTGACCAACCTTGTCCTTTTACAGCAGAAATACCAAATGTGTGTTGATACAGCTAAAATCAAAAATGGAGATGTCACTTTTTTCCCATTACACAAATTAGCAAAACACACATCTTAGCAGATTTTATGATGCCTTTTTAATGAGCACATTAATGTTGATTTTTTATTTTATTTTTATTTATTTTTGTTAAATTGAAAGTCAATTGGACCAACTGTATGAGATGCAGAGCCTTTTCAAAATAGCCTTGTAACAGCACCACCATGTGGCCTGCTGGGCTTATTTCTCTCAGAAACGATTTGCACATCTTGTCCAGTTAAAGTGGCATGTTTTTTATTTCTTACTCATTCCACCTCACTGCAACTGTAAGATCTGGCATAAGAATAAAATAATGACAAATGCTAACAAACTCAATAGGGCTCTGCTTCCTTGAGGTTTGAAATCTATAAACAAAACAAGGTTTTACATAGTTGATAAATTATATTACTCATCATGGAAAGCTTTGACTCAAATATGTTAAGTTTGTGCAGGTGATTTATCATAAGTGAACTCAAAAAATGTATAATTAAAGTCTTAGAATTCCTGATTTATTTATCATTTACCTGTTTTTGGAATCATAGATCACAATAACAAAAATAGAAAATGGATTGATTCCCTCTTGAATGCATGACAATGAAGATTATGGAACTATATGGATGGGTCCTGTAGGAGAGGCTGCGGATTTGTCTGGGAAGTTGGGTGGAGTGTGGATGAGGTGCCAGCTGTAGCATGGCACCTCAGCAAACTCTGATAACTTTAGGTTGGCACTTGTTACACACAGTCTTTATCCACACACTCAAACAAAAAATGACTCTGTAGATTCATTTGTAGCATACTAAACCTAAGTGTACACATCTCATATCTTGTTCCCTGGTGTTAAAAGATCCGCAATCTTGAAATTGACAACCAATCAAAGAAATTATTCTGGATAATTAATCTAACATGTTTTTTTAAAGATCTGACAAAAGCAAAACACACTCAAAACAAGAGTGTCCTCTGCCTTTGCCCTAAGTCAGCTGGGATAGGCTCTAGTGCCCCCGCGACCCTAGTGAGGATTAACCGGTGTATAGATAATGGATAGATGGATGGTTTGTGGTGTTAGTAAGTTGAGCAAACTTCCCTTTCCTGCTTTACGGTCTTCTAGAGATCCTCAAGGCAGTTCCAACCAGATGGGATACTGTACATAACTCCTCCAGCATGTTCTGGTCCTGTCTTGACATCTCCTGCCTAGTATTATACCTCACAATGTGCTGGAATACTTCCACATGGAGGGCGTCCTAATCATATATGTGAACCACGTCAGCTGTCTGATTCAGTGGCGGTGTTACTTAGCGCTCCCTCCAGACGTCTCAGTTCTTCACCCTATCTTTCAGTGTTAATCCAGTTCCCCCCTGAAGGAAATAGGGCAGTAGATTCGACCTTTTGGCCACAAGTTGCCTTCTTTAACCTCCCCTCCTTTCTTTCCCCTCAAATCACCCTCTATGCCAGAGTCAGAAAATGTATCCTTGAGTGAAAGAACACATTGTGTTAAAAGTTGTCAAAACGTGCAAACCAGCTGGACCACAGACCTCGGTACTGATTTATGTTCAGCATGCATCTCACATACTCACCTAGTTGCTCAAATTTTTAGTATATAAATGAACCATACACAGTCCAGACCATGAGTATTACTGCAGTTACATACAGGATGTTCTTCAGGCTCTCGTAAAACGATGGGCACACCATTAAAGTGACAAAGCCTCTTTCACTCGAGGTTTGACCTGATATTACCTGAAGAGAAGTAACAGTTTACAGGACGATTCATAAAGTACATCTAGAGGAGTCAGAGATCTTTCCTGCTGCAGATATTTTAACGGTGAAAATAAATGATCATTTTGCACAACATGATTTATTTCATCTACACATCTTTCTTCTTTAAAGTGATTAAATAAGTATCGCACAGACAATAATTAACACAGCTACCTCTGTGGCTCAGTGCTGTTAGCAACAGCGCTGGCAAACACAGCAGCAGCAGGGTTGCAGGAAAGCAAATCAGAGGCTGTTTTATTTGAGGAAACTGAGGTCTTTTAATGTTAATAAGAAGTTTCTTAAAATGTTTTACTCATCTTTTATTGAATCTCTTTTAACATTTACAATGATTTGTTGGTTTGGGAACCTCAGCATTAAAAATAAGAGCAGGATGAAGAATGTGGTCAAACTCTGCCAAAAAACAATTGGCACTAGCCTGAGTGACCTTGATCATGTCTACCAAACTAGAGCCACTCAGAGGGCAGGAGCCATTCTGGCCAATCCTCTCCACCCTCTTCATGCAGAGTTTCGACTCCTCCCATCTAAGAGGAGGTATTCGTTCCCTTGTCAGGCGAAATCAAATAGATATTTAAAATCCTTTGTCCCGTCTGTCATCAGATTTCTTAATATGCTGTAGGTGAACGTGTTGGGGATAATATACTGTATTGTAATTTATGACGACCATGTATGTATGTATGTTTGTATAATTTGTATTATCATATGTGCCATGTGAGATTTACTGTGTGATTCTAACTTTTGCTGCAAACCAAATTGCCCTCCGGGGACATTAAAGATTTTCAAAGTCAAAGTCAAAGTTCAGCGGGCAGAGTGAATTCAGGCTGTCAGTCAGTTTCGCTCCTCACTGCTCTCTGGGTCAACCTTCAACAAATATGGACTGTCTCCGAAATCACTCACTACACCCTATGTATAGTGCACTATATAGAGTGTTGGCCATCTGTACTGTTGTCCGAATGTTAAGTTACAACTACAACTGTTATAACACCCTATATAGTGCACTCAAAATATCCCACAATGCACCATGAAGAGTAGTGTGCAGCCGATGGTCACTAACCAAGCACCATGTACCATCATGCAGGAGAATGGCAGACAATGAAGAGCACGAAAACTTGTCATACATACTAATTTCCTGTTTAGGTTCTATAGCTGAATTGGGTTTTACCTGTTTCTTAGCGATGTATTAAAGTGTGAATCTGATGTTTTTTTTGCATTGCGCTGCTAGAGCAAAAATTACAGCTAGTAAGCAACATAATTAATGCACAGCCACTCGAGTTGCGTCCAAATTGTTGTTTCTCCTGAGAAGCTCCTGACATACGAGGTGTGTCAGGAAAGCTTCAGGCCTGGTGTCACAGAAGATATATGTCAAATCCAAACTACAAACTACAAGTTTCCCCTTCCAAGTAATCCCCCTGAAGTCTAACACACTGTCCCAGCCTTCTCTGCCACGCCGCCATGCACTTGATTTCGTCCACATCTTCAAAACAGGTCCCCCTGATGACCCCCTTGAGCTTGGGAAAGAGGAAGAAATCCCACGGAGCCAGGTGGGGTGAGTAGGGAGGTTCTCCAGCACGACGACGTTCTTCTAAGCCAGGAACTGTCGGATGCTCAGAACATTGTGAGCAGGCGCGTTGTCATGGTGAAGCAGCCACGACTTGTCCTGCCACAACTCTCGCCTCTTCACTGAACGAAGCAAACACTGCAGGATCTCCTTGTAGACGTGCTGGTTGATCATCTGAAGGGGAAAACTGGTAGTTTGTAGTTTGGGTTTGAAATATATCTTTTGTAACATCAGTCCTGGAACTTTTGTGACACACATCGTAGTTCACAGCAAGTCTGAGCTACAACCTGAAATCAATTGATTGTGCAGAAAGTGCTATTAGACAGTAGGTAATAGGAGCTGAGGAAGCTGTGATCACTGTAAATACCAGCACATGATGAGGTTGAGACAGGAAGCAGGAACTGTTTGCACGATGGTTAGGTTTAACTGCACCTGTGAGCAACTTTGAGGTCAAACATATGTTTACCTTTTGACTACTGTTATGCAGTTTGCATTATTTTCTGCAAGAACGCAAACTAAAGTTGATTATGTTATTTTATAATCACTGCCAAATAGCACACCGTTAGTGTATCATGCATGCAGCACAAGTACAATTTGAAGAATTTTTCTCTAATTTAATAAAATAAGTACTTTGGCACTGTTGACTGGGATTAATCGTAGCCCTACATGTGGGCATCAGAAACACTAACATTAGGAGAAAAGTAAAAAGGAAAGGAGACCAAAAAGAAAGAAAACCAAATAATATACAGTCAGGTCTATAAATATTTGGACAGTACCACTATCAGTTTGCCTCTGTTTACAACCAGAATTCATTTGAAATTAAGCAATCCCTGTTTTACATGGTTCCTTCCCTTTTTACAAGCTAGTGTAATTGCAAACATAAAGCTTATTTTTAATATTTGATGCAAATCCTGGGTCTGAAAACATGCTGACTGTCCTCCCGTTGGATGCTTTTCCAGGCCTTTAAAGCAGCTGCCTTCAGGTGCTGCTTGTTTCTGAGAGTTTCTGCCTCAAGATCTGCCTTCAATAAGTAGTAAAAAAAGTTCAGCTGGGCCATTTAAGAACATTTCATTTCTTTCTTTAAGTAAAGTATTTTTCATTTCATTTCATTTCGTAAGTCTTGGATTGCTTTCACAGTATGTTTTGTGTCATTGTCCACCTGTACTGCGGATGGCTATCTTATCAGTTTTACCAGACTTTATTAAATCTGGGCACAAAGCATCTATGCTTCTCAGACTTCATCCTGCTACTTCTGTCAGCAGTCACATCATCAATGAACACCAGTGGCTCAGTTCCACAGTCAGCCATACATACTCATGCCACAACACCGCCGCCACCATGTTTGACGGATGATGTACTGTGAGCCCTTCCTTTCCTTCACCATCCTGTCTCCATCATTCTGGAACAAATGAATCTGGGGTCCAGCTGTCCAAAGAATCTTGTTCTTTTTGTTGTTGTTGTTGTTGTTTTACATGTTTTCTAGCAAAGTCTTTATCACATTCTGGTTGTTTTATTTAAAATCCGCTGTTGTGGAGCACAGAAGCATAATTCTGAAAATTGTGTCAGTTGCCAGTGGACAATTCAGAAAAATACCCTCCATATTAATAACTGTGATCGTAATTGTGTTAGTGAAAGAAAGAAAAAAACAGGCAGCAATGCAATTCTTCCAAAACTTATTTTTGGTTACAGATTAAACGTATGTAAATGTAAATGTTTGGCATCTTTGAAAGTCATTCTTTATTGATCAACAAATGGTGATTTTCATTTCATTTATTTCTCCTCAGCTCCTTCCTATTAAGTCTCCTCCCAATCCTCTCCATAATTCTTATATCCTGGTTTTATTCTTTCTCTCATTGTCTTTCCTCCCATTTTGCTTCTCGGATTTTTCCAAATGCCTCTTGTCCTGTCCTTGTTTCCGTCCTTTTCAACGCTCCCCTTCTGTTTTTTCTTTTCTCTGATTCTCCCCCTCTCCTCCCTTCCCCTGCCTTCCTCTCAGGTTGTTTGAGTACCATGGCAGGGTATCTCCGGTTCCTCGGGTGGTGCCAGTCAAACGTCCGCGAGTGGCGGTGCCGCTGTTACGACGGGTCAAATCTCTGCCAGTCAAACTGTTGGCACGTAATGCCTCCGTCCTCCCCACCAGCAACGGCAACAAACAGAGATGTGAGTTCCACCTTGTCTAGATGTAAAAATGGAATGAATGGAGTTTGGATTGTTGCGTCATGCATGCATTGATGCTGAGGATGTAAGGGTTTACAAGACATCAGAGAAAATAAAGAATAGAAAGTACACAGTACCAGAGTGCTACAGCATGTACGTATCTGTAAAGTACCCTGTAAAATACCCCAACAGTACAACAGCATAATTAAATCAGCACATTTTCTATGTCACTAAATTGAATAAGTTATTGGCAAAAACATTTTTCTGTATAATACTAGAGTAAACCAAGTCAAGCTAAATTATTTGCCCTTTTTTTCGGCTTGTTGAAACTGTTAAACACATTTCGATCATCTCCATCACCTCTATATGTGGGGACATTTATATAAATAGAACATCTTATAAGATAACATTGGTGTAGAAATGTGCACCAAAGATGGGATTTTGATAGAAAAATGTCGTATTTAATAAGCTATAGAATCAGTTTAGATGATTTTAACAATACCATTAACTGCTACAAGCAGCAATTACAATGAATGCTGATCAAATAAAGGTAAAGGAAACTGAATCTAAACAGTGCAGTTTTGTGATCTAATCCACCATCGGCTGTCTTTCTGTCTGCATGGTTCGCTTCCTCTTCTCTTATAATTTTCTGACTTTCACCAACTCCACCCTTCTGACCCAAATCTCCTCTTCATCTGTCTTTCAAGTCTTGTGTTTACATGTCAGCAGAAGGTTCAAACATCAGGGTGGCTGTTGTCACTTTATTTTTGCATTCTGCTCATTAAACATTCAATCCAAATTGTGTTCAGACTGCGGATCTGAAGAGAGATGCTGACGCCCCGTCAGCTCCTTTCACATTTGACTTGGTCCTGAACCTCTCTGTTCCAGCAGAAGGTTTTGTTGTGGTTTTTTGCTGAGTTGTGCGCTCACAAAGCAGTTTCATGTCACTGATTCAAATGTCTTTCCGTGTACTCATCAAACTTGCTTTTCCAATGTTTTGAGAAAGTATTATCAAAATGAAAGTTTTTTTTTTTTTCTTTTTTCTGCGCCGCGTCCTTTTTTGGAAGCTCACAACAAAGAGCCAACAGTTTGTGGTTTCTCCTCTAAATGTTCACCATATAACCAAAAGTCCTGCCAGATGTCCAGCCAGTTGTGTTAAGATGAGATTGAAGTGTAGCTTTAAAGGGTTCAACAGCAATTTTGCATTACATTACAGGAATTAGTCTTTTTTTTTTTTTCTACAAAGTCCCTGTCATGGTTTTGTTGATGTTTCTGACTCACATGCAGAATGACACTCAGGAGAAGAGGAGTTAGAACAATGAGGTTTATTACAGTTACTGGAAATGTGCAATGATGAGGTTGAACCAGGCCTGAACATCAGTGAAGGTCTTGTAGATGGCTGGGGCGGGCAGGCTGTACGGTGGTCGATGCAGAGGAATGAGGAAAAGGCAGGAGTGTTACCGGTCGTGAGCAGATAATCCAGGGAGCAACGGAGAAGACTCGGGTCTGACGCAGATTGGCTGTGGGAAGCACAAACATAGAGCGGGTACACAGGAAAAAAATCTTCAAAGAAGAAGAGACAGTCACTCGGAAGCTCAGAGGGAGGCACGAGGAAACACAAGAGGAAAACTCGGCAAGTGGCTTGAAGTCACCACATGGGTCAACACTCAGGCACTGAGTAACTGGTGACAGCTCGTTTTATCCACGAGTGACAAGACTGATGAACTGCAGGTGTGTGGACAACACACCTGCAGGGAATAAGCCCCAGCAGAGCAGAGTTCTCTAGGACGCCCTCTGGTGGACACCTGCAGGACAAGAATCAACACAGGCCAAAACCCCATTCCCTGACAGTCTCCCTTTTTTTAACAGAAGCTAAGTAATTCGACATTTAACTGATTAGCAGTTTCATGGTCAGGTGTGGTCTATTTTTTCAAAGTTCACAACAAATTATTTAATTAATTAATTACAATAATTGATCAGATTTATATAGCGCTTTTCTAGACACTCAAAGACGCTGTACACTGTCAATTATTCATTCACACACATTCATTCTGGTGGTGGTAGCTACGACTGTAGCCACAGTTGCCCGAGGCGTGGTTGCCATTCTGCCCCTCCGACCACCACCTCAAACAATCCATTCATACGCATTCACACCAGCCAAGGTGGGTGAAGTGTCTTGCCCAAGGACACAACGACCATGAAACAGGTTACAGGGTGGAATCGAACCGCCGACCTTCCGATCATCGACCGACTCACTCTATCACCTGAGCCACAGCCGCCCCAAATTAATGATATAAAAAGGTCTGGACTTTATTTCAAGAGAAAATTTTTTCAGTGTTCATGGAAGCTCTCAACATGCACTTCAAAGACGCTGCAGTGCAAGTTAAGGAGTGCATCATTAGGCCGAAGAAATTAAACCAACCTAATCAGAGATAGCAGAACCTTTAGGAGTGGCCAAATCAACTATACGATACGGTCTGTCTCCACAAAACGATGATCTCATACAATGAAAATACAGTCTCAATTACTTCTTGAAGGAAATGCAATTATATATAAACCAGCAACCAAACTTTCACTCAGAGCACCACAGTTTGTGTCTTGTAATGGACAAGAGAGAATCAGCCTCAGAATTTAGTTTAGTTAAGTCGTTTTTTATTGTCATTTTTCACTTGTGTACTGGTTTAGGCACCAAAACTACATGCTTAAGTTCAGGAAAATATCATGCTTTGGGTTAAAATATGACCCTTCAACCACATGTTTAAGGCTTCCACTACATTTTTTATTTTTTATTTTTTTGGTTACCAAGGTAACAACTCCTGTTCCGTCTATAATATCTGATTGTTTGGCAGAAAAAGAGCAACACTAAAGCAATAAAATAGATGGCAAAGATAAGTTGATTAGAAACATACATTTGATGTACGTGTGATATGTCACAAACAAATGTAATCTGGCAAAAAATACGTTTCCTTCAAAATAGAATTGAGAATGTTGTTTACTGTAGTCACAGAGGAATGTAATTTTGCGAAGACTGAGTTGCTCAAAAAGAAAGAATGGAAAGCTCGATGGCCTGTAAGGCCCCAAAAGAAAAGCAAAGTGGATAATTCACAGAGTTTTTCCCTTGGTGGACAGAATTCCCATCACAACATTCAGCTAACTCATCAACACTCTGGATTTTACGTCTAAGAAAAGACTTTATAAGGCAAAGGAATGAAATGTTACCGAATGATTAATTTCCAACTGGGCATGTGTGTTTTTCATTCACTGAAGACATTGCTGGAGGCAGAAAGACCCACAAGCAAGCAACAACGCAGGGCGGCTGCCTTAAAGGCCTCACAAAGCATCTCAAGGGAGGAAATGACACCCACGGGTTCCCCATTTTATTTTGTCCACTAACTTGGAAGTCTTTGATGCTTGACGATGAAGCAAATAGTCTTGAATAAAAATGGACACATGTATCATGGCAGTCCCAATCTCAATGCAATCCAATATCTTTAGGATTAAAAGCTTGTGCCCAACCTCACTAAAGATCTTGTGGTTGACTGTGTCGATTGTAAAAATCGTATTTTTTTTCAACACTGAATCAATCAATTTGGCTTTATTGATGAGAATTTACAAGAAAAAAAAAGGATTATTTC